CTTCCTTCCTTCCTTCCATCCGTCTTTCCATAGGGGAAGGAAAACCATATTGAAAGATCTACATATAAACTGGGCACTTTGACATTAGAACATTTGATTATTTTAACATCCCTGTGAGGTTTATATAATTCTATTTTATAGTTGAGAAAACTGAAATTCAGAAAGAGTGCTTTGGCCAACGTCACACAGTTATTGAAGGAGGTCACTGGGCTCCACACTAGTTCTTTCCAGCTGAACAGGCCTCTGTCCTTGCCCCATCTGGCACAGGCCACCTCCCCGGGGTGACATGGTCCTAGAATAAGCTTGTCGGAGCTCACCACCGATCTGAAGCCTGTGCAGCAAACAGCCAGCACAGAAGTTCTCCGGGGTGCAATCTGCCTGCAGCTCAGACCCAGCCCTGTGCTTCCTTCTTCTCAGGCTGGCTCCCCTTTCACCCACTGAGCTCCCCCCCACCACATCAGTGGCAGGGCTTGTGCCACTTGGAGAGCCCCAGTGGGCAGCTGGGCTCAGCACTCTCAGGTCTTTCAAAATTTCTGAGGCTGTTTGCCCTACAGATAGTTGGGTGACCTCTGTCTGGCCCCTTCTCTTAAGGTCCCTTAAATGTAAACCAGCAGATTTGGGGTTCCTGGGGCCCAGACATTCTTGTGGCAGAATGGAGCTCTCTCTCCAGAAAGCAGAAAGCTCATAAGACTGCTTGGTTTCAAGAATCCTTAATTTCTGGTCATCCTGAAGGCAGAAGTGAGGGCATGAAGATCACTTCCAACCGCTCCCTGCTTCTGGTCCCTACCACATAGCAGAGGTGTGGGCTCCTGGTCCCATTCCTTCCTACAGGTCCCACAGGCTACTCCAAGAAACAGAGGCTGCCCTGAGGAGGCAGCAAGACAGACAGGGCACAGTCACTACCAGCTTAGCTCCACAGAGTGGGGGCACTGCAAGGCTCCGGAGCCTGACCAAGCTGCTTCCTGGCCCCCGTCCCCCTCCCTGAGGCTAGAAGCCTGGCCCAGCAGTTACAGTGCTCCAAGCTTTCATTAAGGGAAGAGCTCATTCATGGGCAGACTGTCTCAAGTCTGACCCAGTTTCCTGGCCCATCCTCTCCTGCCCCTCCTGCTGCTATGCAAGAAGCCCTGGTCTGCCCCTCATTTCCACCCACCGCCAGGGGGCTCCTGGCAGCCCAGGGCTCCTCATAGCCTAGAGCTCCAGCCTCTGCTAATGGGAGACCCAGGCAAGGGCCAGAGGGCATCTAACCTCAGGTGAAAGGTCCTGGGCTTCATGCCCACCCAAACCAGGGATGCAGGGCAGTGAACTCTTTACTTATGCAAGGGGGAAACTGGCCCAGGACACTTTCTGGAGTAGGGTAGGGGGGCCATCCCAGAGAACCCCCTAGGTCTTCATCCCATAATACCTTTGTGCATGTACCGCACTGGCAAAGATTTCTCCCAGGTCCCCCTGAGAACAGGACACCCCCCCAACCCAAGTACTCTGACTGCCGTCTTAGGGGGGCTATCTTAGGGGGTGGGGGTGACCAAGAATTCATGTGTAAGTGTGAGGAGGGGGGCTCATCTTGTCAGTGGTGTGAGGATGTTTACATGCATGCAAGCGCACACATACTCCTCATTCAATACCACGTGTAGCAACTCATTATCCAGGACATGCAGAAATCGGCAGGGTATTTGTATCAAACTCTATTTACATTGTATTCACAGTACACCCTGGCAAACATATACACATCCACCCACGTGGTCCGGACATCTAGACCAGACTGTATGCTAAGGCACAATTGTTACATATCAAGAACTCTCTTAAATACTTTTGCCCTCACTTAGGGAATTCCTTAAATCATCTTCTCTCACAGAAACACAAAAGTGTAAAGAAGGAGAGGAGAGAAAGGAAATGAGAGAGGAAGCCAGCCACTGCATGGAACTTTTAGCATTGGGGGAAAATGACCAAACTATGGAGTTTTGGAGAAACCCCTAGGGCTAGAATTAGAGACAGATGTCTTCCTGTGGGCATCCATGGGGAAGTGGAGTATGATTTGGCTCCCTTCTCTCACCTCCTCCAGTCCCTGTGTAGACCAGAATCCCTCATCAATTCCTTCATTTCATCCTCTGTACTTGGTGAGGCTGCCGCTCTCTCCCGCATTGGGTGCCTCTTGCCTTTCAGTTCCTGGGGGTAGAGAGAGGTTCTGTCTTCCAGTGTCGGCCTAGGCCAACTTCCTCACCTCACTGAGAGGCTCTGCCCTGGAGACTTCCCTCCTCTGCTTTCTCTGCTCCGGATAGCAGTTGGGGAGTGCTGAGCGTCAGCTTCGGAACAGAGAGCCTCAACCAGCCAAAGCAGAGGCTCTGTACGTATTCTCTGTTATCATTCAGCAAGCCAGGATTATACACCCAGAACACAGCTGCACACATCACCAATGACATACGAATGCAACACACAGTGTGGTCCCAGTAAGCATTCCCCCAGTATTAGCCATATGATAATTACAATGCCCCAAATATATGCCCTCTCCGAAGGTGAATGACATACATACCTCCCACCCTGTCACCAGGGCACGACTTACACTGTATGCACACATTTGCAGCAGGCATAGACTGCACAACTACCCATGGGATACGTGTTCACACCACAGAAAGCACAAACAGACAAGTATGCAGCCGTCTACTTTCTTTTCTACGACTCCCCTTAGTCAGCCAGACAGAGGCACAGCGGGTCTCCAGAAGCACCCAGCCATCAGGTCTGACCAGCCTCTTGGGCTTCCGGCTCCAGCTGAGACTCCCTCTCCACCCTGCTCTTCCAGGATCCCTCTGCCCTGGCAGACTCCAGTCCTGGTCTCAGGGTGTTGTTCCTCAGGATCCCCAAGACTTCATCCTCCACCTTCCAGCCTCCCGGGAGATGCCTGAGGGAGGAAGGGGTGTCCTGTGCCAGAGCCACTTCCCCGTGGGCCCAGCTACACATAACAGAGATCCCACCATGACGTTCCCCCGTTGTAACCACCAGTAGACTCAAGTGGGAGGCCTGCAGGCTAGTTCCCTGCTGCGCGCTGCCGCCCGGGCTTACCGGTGGGCCTGGACCTTCGGCCACCGCTGTCCAGGCCCAGAGTGGCAGAGTGGGGGGCGATAAGGGACACGTGGCTGGGCGCGGGGTCCAGTCCAACCTGTGCCGCAGTCGCTGAGAGAGTCCAGTCGGCTGATACCTGTCACCCTCTCGGAGGAATGAAGGCAGACCACCCCTAACCCGCCTCGGAGCTCCGGGCTGCAACCCAGTCAAAGGCTCGTGTGCCTGCACAGAAGCACAGGTCTTAATTCGTTATTTGAAGACTCAGTAACGGAAAAGGAAGAAAAAGATTAGATTTCTACAGCCTCGAAGTATGCTCACCCCTCTGTGGGATGAGCTCACCGCTCCCAAATCTGTTACACAGATCTCAAGGTAAATGAATTGTGATTAAAAATAAGGCAATCAGTCACTCATTACATTTGTACAGAGGTTTGCAGCTTACAGAGCATTTCCGCAACCAGGATTTCATCTATTTGGAATAAACTCTTATGGTTGTTATACTTGACTGGAAAAATTTAAAAGTCTGAGAACAAAATAACGAAAACAGCCCAGACACCCAAGTACAACCATGTAAGAGGTAAAATGCAAACTTGCATGAGTACAAAGACAGAACAAATCCTACCGACAGACTCGCCTTGTGACGGAACCACGGCAGATAAAGTTTCCGATGATGTTAAACAGCCGCAACACCAGCGATGACACAGAAAACAAACAGTCCCCGGGGAAAACAAAGCCGCCACGACAACCACAAACGCCCCCCACTCCGGCTGCCCTCATCCCTTGTTTATCTGAAAAAGGATACAATTTTGCTGAAAATCTCTCTCTTTTAACTATCTGCTGAACAAACTTAGGCGCGACGGAAATAATATAAGTCTGTGTTAAAAGAAAGAACAAAAAATTTATTCGGGAATTGACAAGACAAAAACAACAACAACAAACAAGGAACAAAACAACAAAAGTGCTCTAGTTCTCTCTAGAAAATTTGGTCCTCCAAACGACACACTACAGGACAACCAGGTCTCGGGTTTTTGGGCCGGCCGGCTCCGTGTCCCAAGCCCGCCTGGTCCGACTGCTGCCAGGTTTCACATTTCTCCTGCCCAGGGTGGGAGAAGCAAGACGTTTGAAAAATAAAAATCAGGGAGAGGACGAGCCGTCCCTGCAGCGTCCGCCAGGCAGGCGGTGATCGCCCGGCACTCGGGGCTTGCATCGGAAGATCCGGGGAAATTTGTTTTTATTATTTTATTTTTAGATAAGGAGAGAGGGAAAAATCCCCCAATTCGTAGAAAAAACCATCTTTTACCGAGCATATTCGTCTACCTCGCTCTCCGACCACAGCTTTTTGAAGGCCCGACAGGAATTCTACTTCCAATCTTCTGGAAGAGAAGATTTTCATGTTTTGCTTTAGCAAACTCCAAGGCCACAATACTTCGCCGGTTTTCCCGGTGAGTGTTTTTCCCTAAAAAATATTTTTTGATATTATCTAAAATAGCCCTACTGATCTTTTTAGCAAAACATTACCCAGCCGCCTGGGCCTGGAGGTGCCCGAAGCGCCGGGACGGAGAGCGGAGAAAAGGCAGCCTCTCTCTGAGCCGGGATGTGGTGTAAACCCGGGCGCAGGCCGCCTAGCGAGGCGGCCCTGGCTCCCTGCTCGGGCCCAACCCCCGCCCCGCCCAGTGGGCCCGGGCTAGCGGCTTCTGAACAACTCCAAGAAGGTACGCGGAGCTGACACACGTTCGTCCCTTTCTCGGGCGGCGCGAGTCCTGTTGCCGACCCAGGCCAGCGCTTCGAGCCGAGGATTGCTCGGCAGCCGGCTGGGGAAAGCCGAGAGCGGGCGCACCGACCTGTGCGAGAAGGCCGAGAGGTCTGCGCTGCCGGCGCCCAGCTGAGCCTCGGCCCCGGTGCTTCCTCTCCGCCGTGAACCGTGCGCTGCCAACTTTGGCGCTGGGGCACCGGGAAGAGACGAGGCCTTCCAAAAGCGCGCGGAGAGGCGGCCTGCAGGCCGGAGGAGCAAAAGGGCGTGGAGGGCAGGGAGGCGAGCACAGGAGGAGACGCGGAGGAGACAAAGAGGAGCGAGAGAAGCTGAGAGGAGCGAGGAGGCGCAGAGGAGCCGTAGGCGCTGGCTCAGGATGCGGCCCCAGCGGGTGCGCGGTCCGACTGGCGGCGGTGGCTGCGACCAAGACCGGCGTCGCGCGTCCCTGCCTCCTCGCATCTGGCGTGCGCTGGGCTCTCAGAGATCGAGGCGCGAGTGCAGCGCGCCGGTCTTGCTGTCGTGGTCCCAGTAAGAGCAATGCATCATGGCGAGCTCAGGCTGCCGGGCGCAGGCAAACTGCAGGCCGGGCGCGTTGGTGGGCGCGGGCGCCGGGGGCGCGGCGG